CCTGCCTGCCCCAGTTAGCAATGTGGACGGGGCTTCTGAAATAGCTCGGCAGCTTTAGATTCAGAGTGGTTGTTGCCCTCAAGCTGTCTACACCAGAAAAAGCATCACCTACATGTTGCCAGGAGCTGAATTTGTCCAAAAAGTAGGTCCAAGTTCAATATCCTAAATAACCTGTTACATTTCAAGAGACTCTTATTCTATAAAAGGACCAGACAAGTCTTTTGAGTCAACCTGATCTCTGGGCCAAGAAGCATAAGAGAGTACAAGCTATTTAGTCCCTGGAAATTTAAGCTTAGAGTTTTTGTTGTTACTGTTATTTTTCTCTAATTAGAATATCTTTTGCCCAGTGAACTGAAATCAGTTTGTTCTTGCAAAGGAGTTCAAGCATCAAATGGGTATTAGAACTAGAACTGTATTGTTCTTTGATGTCCTTCAGTTTGATCCAACCAAAATTCATTGAACACTTACTATCTGTCAGGCACTATCATAGGTGGGGATACAACAGTGGACCAAACATTAGTCTAGCCTCCTAGGAGCCATTATGAGTGGAGGAGACTGAGATGAAAAGATAACCATCACTCTGCCTGGAGATGAAGGCAGATACTTCCATAGAAGGCAGATGTTACCATAGAGAGAAGGCAGATGCTTCTAGAGGCTCATTGGATGAGCAGTTATTGAGCAGCTACTGTGTATCCAGTGCTCCAGTGAGGAAGGAAACTATCCAGGGAATCCTTAGTTATCATAAGCAGGAGGCTTTAGAGAAAAGGCCCTAGCTCCTCTGTCTCCTGTTGCTCTCTAGTCTCTTGTTAGCAATTTGCTTCCTCCTTCCAGTTCTAATATTCCATCCCTATTCTCTGTTTAATTTTAGCACAGACTCCAAGCGTGAGGAAATGGGTCAATACTCATAACTGAATGTGTTTAGTATATGTTAAAAATAGAACCCTTTGTAAGGGAAGTCTTTTAGAAGAGTGTTTTTCAAACTTTTGTGTCCAGGGCCGGCCTGGTGGCGCACTCGGTAGAGTGCGGCGCTTGGGAGCCCGGCGGCGCTCCCGCTGAGGGTTCGGATCCCATAGAGAGACCGGTCCGCTCACTGGTTGAGCACGGTGCGGGCACGACACCGAGGGTTGCGATCCCGTTGCCGGTCGCGGTACGGGCGCGACACTGAGGGTTGCAAAAAAAGACAAAAAGGGGAAAAAAAAAAAACTTTTGTGTCTGCAACCCACATCATGAAATATATATTGCATCGCAAACTAATACACATGTGCACATGCAGTTATATATAAAATTCAGTACTTCTCTGGCTACATGAAATGCAACCTGGTGTTTTCTATTATATTCTATACTCTTTCATTTAAAAAAAAAATTGACCATCTTGACCCACTAAATTGCTTTCTTGACCTGTTCACAGCATGCAGTTTAAAGACATGGTCCCACAAACCTAGACAATGTCTCTTTTGGATTGAAAGCCATGCTGTACCCTAAGGACAGAGAGCATACAAGAAATTTCTTAATATCTTTCCTTCTGCTGTTTTCTCTGCCTTAATTTTGACATGACATCCACCCAATTTCCTTTTGGAATTTTCTTAGAAATAATGACTTCTCAAACTTACTTCCTTGCCTCCTTGAAATAAATTCGAACTTTCAGCATGCGTATTTTATTCATTAAATTTTTAAAAGTAATTTTCTTCTAATTTTGTATAGATATCAGAATAAAAGGCATAGGTACCATTTTGTCCCTGCCCAAGTGATACTATAAGCATCTGCATTTAAGGTGTTATCTCAGTGTTCTATGTTCCTTAGCCAACATAGGTGAGTCACAGACTAGCATCAGGGCTGTGCTTCAGTGTGTTAAGTATCTCCCTGTGTTTCTGTCCTAAAAGTGTAGTATTTATATGATCTTGTTTCACTGTGATTTAGTGTCCCTATAGTATAACTTTTATGGG